TAGCGCAGCCTAAAATTAACCTACAGAGCTTAAAAGTACTCCAGGTAGCCTAAAACAGCGTTCAAAAGCATTCAAGAGAAAACGGTCGTTGGGCATGGGTGCCCCTGAATGTGTTGTACACAGTCTGTGGTGTTGTGTGACAGAGAAGGCGCAGTGTTTTGACAGCGGTTTACATTGAAGGCGCCAGTTGTCATAGTAACAAAGAAACTCAAAAGAGAGTCAATATGGCGGCTGTTTCACCACTTTTCGGCGCAAATCGACTTTAAAACAGTAGTTTATCCTGCTAAAACCCTCTTGAAAGTCAATATAAAACCTAACATGGCTAATGAAGAAGAAACAGCAAGCATCAGGGCACCGGAGCCGGTGACAATAACGGTGGTGCGGTGTAGAAATCTGGTAAGCGAACTTGCAAAAATGACTAGATCATACAATTTCATTTTATTTATTAGCTTACTCCTGGCGATCGGCTTGGGTTAGGTTACAAGTAAGCTTACAATTTAATTTCTAAACACATACTTGTCGTTTTTATTTTAATGAAATCATTTTCGTGGTATTCATAGATGACTTGCAGAATCTCAAGCTTATGTACATGTACATTGCCTTTTTCTTTGTCGATGAAATTATGTTGCATGAAGATTATCGATCGTGAGTTTAACCAATAAGCTTAGGTCACAAAGGTATTTATTATTACAAGTTATTACTGTTCAGTAATTTGAAATACCAGTTGCACTGCAATCTGCAACCTGGGACAGCCTTGTTCTGGGACTGTTACAGTGCAGTGTTACCTGAGTTTTAATGCATACATGTACATATCAACATTAATCGTACTATCATATACTTACTGAGTTATTTTAGTAATAGCTAATTGTGCTGTTGAAGTGGCAGCACAACTACTCTTTTTGACTAGAACGCCTGTGTGTAAGGCTCTGTGCTGGTGGTCGCCGACTTCTCTCTGCTGACAGAATGTCATGTCCAATAGTCCGGGCTAGTGGATTTCTATACTAAGTTGCTTGTGCAGGAGTTTCATTAACAGGGTTGCCACAGATCAGAAAATGTTCAGGGAAAAAAGAAATTCTTCGAGGTCAAGGAAAAGTTAGGGAATTTTATTCTGAGTCAGGGAAAGTTGAGATTTTAAAGTATTAAAAGTCATAAAAAATTGAAATAATTTTAACTCGACAGATTTAGTACCATTGAAGGCTGGAAGAAACATTTGG